ATCTTGCTGGGATCCTATGACCCCAGCTGACTTCCTGCCCTTTGGGCAGGGGGCTGGACTCGATGATCTTCCGAGGTCCCTTCCAGCCCTGATGTCTATGAAATCTATGAATTCCTTGGGGTCCCCTTGGTTCGGCTGACTAAGGAAGACCACTACTTGTGCCTCCGACTGAGAGAAGCACCCTCAAGTGCTTGAAGTGAGTCAAGCACCCTCAAGGGCTACTAGGCCTGTGTTTCCCAGGGTGCACACAGCCAGAATAAAGCCCAGCCCTGGGTGGTGGCAGTTTTTACCCCAGGCTAGCGAGTGTGCTCCAGGAAGGGGGTCGGCCAGACATGAGGCGACCCCAGGGAGGCACTCGGAGCCTGGAAGGTGGTCGGGCGCAGGGTATGGGCGGCTCAATGCAGGAGTGCCCCCTACTGGCCCGCCACAACAAGCACCTGCGGTAGGGGTTTGAAAGCCAGATTAGGTTTGGCTTTACTGTGTCAGTCACTGGTACACATCCCCAATGTTGGAGGGAAAGTGATATTTTAAATACCCTTCTTATTTGAGTATTTTGGAACAGAGTTCTTCTGTGTTTTGTGGCAGATTGATACCTTCTCTGTCCCTGCTTCCCTTCTTACTTGTTTACTTCATATGGCCCTTTTCATCAGAGAGGATGGCAACATGGGCCCAGGAAGGGAGGAAATAAAAGGCTCCCTGATACCATGGTTCATTGCAAAGGGAGTAGCCATTAGCAAGAGGGAGCTTTTGATTTTGGATCCTGCTACTAGGAAATTTTGCCGGCTGTTTCATTCTGACACTGTTTCATAGATTTCATAGACATTAGGGCTGGAAGGGACCTCGGAAGATCATCGAGTCCAGCCCCCTGCCCAAAGGGCAGGAAGTCAGCTGGGGTCATAGGATCCCAGCAAGATGAGCATCCAGTTTCATCTTGAAGGTGTTCAATGAAGGCGCTTGAACCACCTCCGGTGGCAGGCTGTTCCAGACCTTGGGGGCTCGGACAGTAAAGAAATTCTTCCTTATGTCCAGCCTGAAACGATCTTGAAGTAGTTTGTGACC